TATTTTTAGTAGAGACGGGGTTTCACCATGTTGGCCAGGATGGTCTCGATCTCTTGACCTCGTGATCCACCCGCCTCAGCCTCCCAAAGGGCTAGGATTACAGGCTTGAGCCACCGCGCCCGGCCCTTGTGTTTTTTCATATACAATATCCAGGGCTTTGAGTTGTACTTAGTGGGAAGAATGGGAAAGAGAATGTCTTCTACATTTCTTAGAAGCCAAAACTTTTCAATTCTGCTTTAATTCCAACATTTGCTTTGTATTTGTATTCATTGCATTGCAGAGGAAAACATGGTCAAAAATTATATTGAGACATTGGAAAGCAGAGTGTGAATCCTGGATACAGACATTTGCCTCCTTTTCTTAGGCTTGGCCCTTCCTTATGTTTTCTTCCTCCAGTTTTGCTTGTGTATCTCTTTATTAAGACTGGGTTGAGTGCAGTGGCTCACGCCTGTAATCACAGCACTTTGGGAGGCTGAGGTGGGCAGACCACTTGAGGTCAGGAGTTTGAGACCAGCCTGGCCAACATGGTGAAACTCCGTTTCCACTAAAAATACAAAAATTAGCTGGGCATGGTGGTGGATGCCTGTAATCTCAGCTACTCAGGAGGCTAAGGCAGGAGAGTCAGAAAGATAAATAACAAAGCTCAAAAGAAGATCAAGTGGCAGCTTACTTAGATATATTTTTACATTTAAAGGTCTTAAATGGATTACTAGGCTTCATATTTATTGAACAACCCTAATAGAGATTTTATGCAATGTCCTTTAGTCACTGTTTTAGAGTATTGGTGGAGATAAGTGAAGCCCAAAGCCTGTGTTTTCAAGAGTGCTTCTAAAAATATTTTTCTTCCATCTTTCAAGGAATACATTGGAAAGTTTTCTGAGCTTGGTATTTTTGATAGACAAATAACAACCTCTGTTCCCCTTGCCTAAAGCCATTTTTTTTTTCCATTGGTTACAAGTTTCCGGGTTATGGGACACGAAGAGAACCATTTTAAATACGTACCTTTAACAGCTTACAGTATTTTTATATTTTGTGCATATTCAAAGCCAGCTTGCTTGCCTCTGCAAGGCATCTTAAGCTCTTTCTCATTTCTTCCCAGGAAAGTTCTGAGTCTGACCATTAAGTGGGTCATAGCTGCTCTTTCTTT